CCCACGCTCCTGGCGGGGCTGCTCCCATCGCATCCGTGTTCTTTTCCCATGTGTGAGTCCCGTGTTTGCCGACACTGTGTCCTGGAGAGGGAAGGAGCAGAGGAAAGGAGTTTCTTTGGTGTGTAAAGATGTCTTTGCAGCTGTTTTGTAGTCGTTGTGGTTTTTATGCGAAGCCTCTGGGCTTTATTTAACCTCCTTGGGTTTTGTTTTGTACCGCTAACCATTTTATTACTTTTATCAAGAAGAAAAAAGTCTATTTTTGCTCTCTGCCTTGGACCTGCCCTGTTCCCCAGGGACTACTCGCAGCACCACTGGGACTAAAGTTCCCACATCCCTGCTGGCACATCTGCATCCCTACCAGCATCCCCACTGACACGCCACATCCCTGCCAGCACCCCCAGCAGCACCCACACCAGACAGGCAACATCAAGACAGTCACTTTTATTATCACTGTGTCCTTCCCTGCCCACATCTCCCCCTCTTCTTGGCTGGGCAGCTGACAGGTCCCATGTCCGTCTGTCCTGCCATGCCCTTGGGGACAAAACATGACCACCCCAGCCCTACGCCTGCTCCAGAACCACTGGCAACCCTGGCAGACACCCGTCCTTGTCAGGGGGAGATGCCAGCATTGCCTCCACACTCCAGATCTTGGGTTTCTGGGGCTGCTTGCCCTGCCCAGGGCTTGGCCCTACTTTAGGGCTGCCCCCACACCCATCCTGCACGGGGGTGGAACTGGGAATGGGTTCAGCAGCTGGTGGGACCCCCTCGCCCTCACTGTCTTCGCTGTCCGAGGCGCTGCGTGCGGCCCAGCCCGCCTTGTTCTCCTTCTTGAGGCGCCGGCGGGCGTTGGCAAACCAGGTGGAGACCTGGGTGAGGCTCATCCGGCTGACCACAGCCAGCATCACCTTCTCCCCCTTGCTGGGGTAGGGGTTCCTGGGGTGCCGTGCCAGCCAGGCCTTCAGTGCCCCGGTGCTTTCCCGTGCTGCCGCTGCCTTCGCCCGGCCTGGCTCTGCGGGCAGCCCCAGCGGCACCTCGTAGGGTGGGGAGACCTGAAGGGGCAGAGGGGTGTCAGGGTGGGATGGGGTGGGGGGTAACACGGCCAGAGGAGAGAGGCTGAGAGATGTAGGGGCTCCTACATCCCTTCGTGTGTGGGAGGGAGCAGAGCTGTATCCTTCCCCTCCTCGCCCTTTCCCATGTGGATCCTGAAATGCTGGGGTGCAGGAGGGGAGGGGGGGGGGGGGCAGGGGAATGCTGAGGAGGTGCAGGGGACTCGGGACAGCAGATCCCCAGCCCCCACCCTAACCACCCCACACAGCCCCATCCCAGCCCTGGGAGGGTCCCATGTCCCAGCCCTCTGGATCTGCAGCCCTGTACTTACCAGGGTTGTCAGGAGGCTCACGGGGGGTGGCAGGAGGCTGTACCCAGCCAGCATGGGGCAAGGGCAGGGGTAGGGGCAGGGCAGTAGGGCTTGAGGGGGTCCCCGCAGGGTCCCCCAAGGCCCCCCACAGCTCCCCAGCTCTTGTCCTGGGCTCCTCTTGCCCCGAGGTGCTGCCATGCTGCAGGAGAGGAGCTGGGGAGCTGCTCCCGGGCGTTTTATAGCTGCTGGGGTCCACAGTGACTGACAGCTGATTAGGGGGTATTAGCACCCACGAGAGCAGCAGCAGGATCTGGGGCACCCAGTACCCCCCCGGCTACTGTTGGGCAGGGACTGGCAGGGACTGCCCTCCTCGCCTGCCTGCCACTGGCCAGGACCCTGTCTCCAGCCCCCCAACTCTGCACAGCCTACATGGCCCACATGGATGGGGTGCAGTGGCACCCAGGGGCTGGTGCTTGGGACCCACGTGAGCTCCACAGACACCCACAGCCACAGGGACACAACACACCTGGGGCTTTACTGCAGTGCCCAGAGCATCAGTCCTGCCCATGACCCCAGCCCTGACCTGGTCCTGAGGCTCGGGTCAGCAGAGCCCCCCATGCTGTGGAGGGCTGGGCTGGAGGGCCAGGGGCTGGTGGACTCATGCCTGGTGGGAGAACAAATCCCCATATTGCCCTATCCTGCTCCTCCTATGTCTTGGCCAGGTCCTCACCCAAGCCCCAGCACTGCCACGCCTGCCGCTGGATTCCTGGCAACAGAGCAGTGAAGGGGAAGGGTCTTGCAGCCCCAGGGACAGCTGGGGATCCCTGCAGGCACCGGGGGGGCTCCTGTGGCTTGTGCAGAAGGGGCAGCGGGTGGGCAGGGCAGTGGTGGGCAGCTGTGAGAGGGGCCCCGAGAGCCCACGACCCCCCGAGCCACCCGCTCCTGCCACCGCGCCTCCCTGCTAAGACTGGGATTATCCCACAGGTTGTATCCGTCATTAAATACCGACTAATAACGCTCTCAGGATATTAAATATGTAACAAACCCGCTTAGCACTGGCCAGGACGGGAAGACGAAGGTCACCGGTGCTAATGAGCCTGGACGCACCCCTGGCTCCCCGCAGGCCCCGGCAACAGCAGAATGTCCTGGGGCTGATGTGCCAGTGCCGAGGGGTCCCAAGCCCCTGCAGTGCCCCCATGGCCAGAGCCCCAGCAGCACCTGGAGCTCTCAATAAGCATCAGCTGGAGCTCTGGTCCTGTCCATCCCACCGTGCCTGGTCTTGTGCCCTTGAGCAGCTCCAGGCGTGGAAGCCACAGGGCAGCTGAACACTGGTGCTGGCTGGGACCTGCCCTGGCCACGGCCCTGCAAGTGGCCCCATAACCTTGTCCCCACAGGACTCCTCCAGCCCTAATCAGTGCCACAGATCCACTTGATTAGATAATGGGGCTGTAATCTAGGAAAGCGCCTGTGGATTGCTGCGGCACACCCTGACCCTGCACAGCACAGCTGGAGAGGGAGGGCCACGGCCAGCGCTGGCACACACAGCTGGACACCGACTGAGCCACGGCCAGGCAGGCACAGCCATGCACCAGCAGCACTGGGCATGGACAAGGCTGGTGTGAAGGCAGCAGGACAGAGCCACAGTCGGGATGGAGCCACAGCTGCGACAGAGCCACAGTCGGGATGGAGCCACAGCCAGGGCTGGTCAGCACGGGGGGGCCACACCCCCCCCCCTGCCCTGGGATTTGGGGGGGGGGGCTGGCCCATGCCCCCCGCCCCCGCCTGAGCAGGACAGGGAGAGCCCATCACAGTGCCCAGGGATTGCACTGCCCTGGTCCCAGAGCTGTGGGGCTTGGGCCTCACAGAGGCTCTCCCCGAGTCTGGGTGGTTCCCAGCCTTTTTCCCCCTCCACGGATAATCAGTTTAATGCAGGAGCAGAGAACTAAAACTCTGCGATTAGCTGTTATAATCGCATGTAAATACGCCCAGACAAGCCGCTCAGGAGGGCGGTGTGGGGCTCCGGACAGAGTTACACGGGATTTAGGCTGTTTACCACTCGATTAATTTCATGACTCCAGCCCCAAGCCCATCGCTGTCCCAGCTGCCCGGCTCACTTCCCAGGAGTCAAGGTCACTCGGGCGGGAGGCAGCTGATAGCCCAGAGTGTCTGCCAGCAGTGACGGGCCCAGCGCAGCCCTGGGCTCTGGGACCCCTGTGCTGCAGTCCTAGGGGATGTGCTGGGGAGACTGGGCTGTCCTGTCCCCGCTGGCTGGAGCCCAGACCCCCAGGCAGGCACACACCCAGGTCTCCATCCCTTTTTATTCATAAGCGTAGTCAAAGCTTGAGAATGTCACAGCTGAACCCCTCCCACAACCACCGACGACCAATACCAGAGTCCATCCCCTCTTCAGAAGAAAAATAGAGCATCTTCCACCTCTGCCTCCTCCTCCTCCTTAGGTTTCTCCAGTCCAGAGCCCTGCTGCCTGCCTGCAGGCTGGAGATGCCACGGGAGGGTCGGCTGCTGGCACAGTGGGACCACAGGCCCCATGGCTGTGGGGAGCACGTGGCTGTGGCTGCACACACCTCGCCTCTCACATCACACCACACAGCTGTGCTCGGCCCCACGGCTCCCCCAGGACCCTCGTGTGCTGAGCAGACACCGATCTATGTCTGCACACGCAGACAATTCAGGAGAAGGGGTTTCAGATCATCAAGTGCAACAGGCAAAGAGACCGTCCCCACACGGGCTGCCCCTGCAGCTGCTGAGCAGTCTCTGGGGGGATGCACAGGACCCCACTGGCACAGGGCCGAGCGGCAGCGTGTCCATGTCTGTGCCGCTCCGGCTCGGGCGCGTCCCTCGCAGCCCTGACGCAATAAGGCAACTGCTGGCTGGGGCTGCTGCCGGCGTGGCCGCCTGCCCAGTGCAGTGCTCAGCCCTGCCCAGTGCGGTGCTCAGCCCTGCCCGGTGCTACTCTGCCAGCGTGATCACGTCGTAGTGGATGCCCGGCTGCAGTTGATGGATCTGCTCGGCCGCTGCCTCAGCGCTGAAGACGCCCTGGGCCTGGGCCATCGCTGCATCTGCCACTGCTGCAGGGAAAGGGGGGTCAGCACCACCTTGCAGGGTCCCCCCTCCTGCTCCCAGGGAAGGGACACACGGCCACCTCGCTCCTGTGGGGCTCATGGTCTGTGGAGCAGGCAGCCCAGCTCTGGTTAACTCTGGAACTGACAGGCTGGGATCAGCAAAGATCCGCCCTTGGACACCACGGTTGGCAGCAAAACAGCAATCCAGGCCTGCCTTCCCAGTCCTCCCGCCCAGGGCCGCTGCACAGCTCCCTGCCAGCCCCAACCACCACTGCTGGCAGGATTGGCACCCCAAGCCCTGGGAGGACTGGCCCCCTCAGCCCAGGGCCTTGCTCCTACCTGAGACAGCTGAGTGTGCCGCTGCTTCCAGCTGTGCCTGGGTGACGAGCTGCTGCTCAGGTGACACGGGCATGTACTGGATCTGCTCAGGGGAGAACAGGGAAGGCCTGAGGGAAGGGGCTCTTCTGCAGCTGCTCTCGCCACAGTCGCTGCATTGAAGTACCAGCCCATGAGCACCGTTTCACATCGCCCTCTCCAGGCAGGCTCAGGGATCACCTCACAGCAGCCCCTCCAGCTCCTGCCTGGCCCCTTACCTGTGACTCCGGGAGGAACTGGCTGCCCTGCTCATACTGTATGTGGGTGATCTGACCATCCTGTACCTGGGGACAAGCAGTGAGGCTGCATTAGGGCTGTGACTGTCCAGGCCCCCAACAAAGCTGTGACCTGAACTGAGTAAGCTGGAGGGGGCCCAAGGGAGCTCAGCCCCACACATGGCACCCTATGAGCCCCACCCACTGGGTGAAGGGAGTGGACAGCCTGAAGCTCACCTGGATGTGATGTCCCTCTGGGACAACAACATACTCCTGGGGAAGCAAGTGTGGGACGCCTTCCTGGGCAATAATGTATTGAACCTGCAAACACAGGAATTCAGACCCAGGAAAGATCACCACTGCCCACCCCCCACCACCACGGGGCTGGATCTGTCCGTCTCCTGTGCCTGTTTTCACCACCCCAGTGGCTCCAGCTCTCCCTACTGACCCCTGCTGTCCCCACTGCCACCAGCTCTCCCAGCTCCCACGGGGCAGAGTCCCCCGTCCGTGGGCCGTGTCCCCTCACCTGGTTGTCAGCGGTCACTAAGTGCTGTACTGTCTGCCCGTCTGCAGTCGTGATCTCCTGGATGTAGGCTGCCTCCTCCTGCAAGGTCAGTAAGTGCCCCATGTGGTCAGGGGGGCTGGGCCTGGCTGCAGTCTCCTGAGAGGGAGGCTGAGGCTAAGGGATCCGACTCACCTGGCTGGTGACGCTCTGCTCCTGTGTGACAAGGATGTGCTCCTGTCCCAGGGCCTGCTGCAGCCTCTCAGGAGCCAGCACGGCCTGGCCGGCCTGCAGAGCTGCTGCAATGCAGAGAGAGCTGCTGGGGACACCAGTGGGGACACTGCCAGGGCTGCCCATGGCCTCACTCCCCAGGGCTGCTCCTGGCCCTGACCCAACTCAGCCCTGCCTGGCCCACGGGCTGGGTGAATCCTGCACAGGGTTCTGGCTGCAGGACACCTGCAGGTCAGTCCTAGTCACAGGGACACGTCTTACTGTGCAGGGTGGCCAGGGTGTCCTCGTCACTGTTCAGGATGATGGTCTGCTGGGCAGCAGCAGGCCCTGGCCTCTTCCCCTCAGAGCTGTGCAAACGCTGTGTGTGAAACTTGAGGTGCCCATTACGGTTGAACCTATGGGAGAAGCAGAGCAAGCTGGAGTTTGCCACAGGACCCTGTGCTCTCTCAGAGACACAGGCCACAGGCACATCCTACAACATGGCCCATCCCAGTTCCTAGCATGTTCCCATCAGTGCCCAGGTACTGAACCTCCCCATGCAGAGCTTCCTTGGGGATGAAGCTGAGTCCACCCACAGCAGGAATTGTTCCAAGGGCAGAGTCCCCTCTAATAGGGGCTGCTCCTGGGGAAGGGCTGGAGCAGTGAGCTCTGCCAAGATCCTGTCTCTCCTCTTGAACCTTGCAGAGCTCTGTGGGATCTCCCAAAGCAGGAACAGCCCTGCTGCATCACTCACCTCTGCCCACAGACGTGGCACGCGAAGGGCTTCTCGTTGGTGTGGGTCAGCATGTGCCTGCGCAGGTCCTTCTTGTTCTTGGAGGCAAAGCTGCAGTGGGGGCACTTGTGTGGCCGGAGATTGGCGTGCTGGACCATGTGGCTCTGGGACAGGAGGACAAGAGTCAGGACAGAAACACCATTTTCCCAAACCCCTTGTTCCCAGGGCTGTTCTGTGCCAGGCAACCTACCCGGACCTCCGGCCAGAGCGTGGCAGTGAAGTTACAGTCGGGACACTTGAAGGTGCTGGGCCCAATGTGGGCTCTCTTGTGACTCTCCATCTCCGCTCTCCCTGTGAACATGGCTGTGCAAATCTTGCATGAAAACTTTTTGGCTGTGGAAATCTTGCACGAGAGCTTCTTGCCTGTGGAAACTTTGCACGAGAGCTTCTTGGCCATGCCTTGGAGTACAGGCCACTTGATCTTTGGGGATGAGACTTCCTGCCCCTCGGAGGCTGGGGATAAAGATGAGTCCTTCTGGAGCTGCCTGGTGACACACTGCACCAGGGGCCACTTGATGCCGGCGGGCTGAGCCTCCTGGCCATCCACAGGTGAGGGAACTGCAGCATCCCCGTTGAGGGGCTGCGGGAGAAACACCAGTCACACTTGTTCACACTGCTGCCCAGGATGGGGAGCAGGCTCAGCTCCTTACCTCCACAGTCTGGAACTGGCTCCCTGGGACACTGGATGACATGATGTAATGATTGTTATGGTCCTTCAGAGCCTCCTCCGTCATCACAGCCCCGCTCACCACAACTGCGTGGGAGGTCTCCACAGGGCTCTCCTCCTCACTGATGGAGAGGACAGGGTCAGAGAGGCCCTGCCTCCTCCTCCTCACCACTTAAAGCCTCCTCACTGGAGAGCAGAAGTGCCTCCACCTCCCTGCTCCTCCCTTACAGCTGACCTGTACAGCGTGCCAGGGGCCTGGATCTCCTCACTGATGGGTGCAATGATGCTGTACTCTGCTGTCCCGCCAAAGGGGATGGTGATCTGCTGCAGCTCCGAGCCACCCAGGCTTGCCTCCCTGTAAGCCTCCTGCACCAGTGTCTGCCCAGGCTCTGCCATGTGCAGCATCACCAATTTCTGCTGCTGCTGCTCCTTTGAGTCCACCTTTGCCTCCTCCTCCTGTGCCTGTGGCTCACAGGGGCCTGGCGTCTCTCCCGGGTCATCTGGCTTCACCACTGCCACCTGTGTGAGACAGCGGCTCAGCCGAGGGGAGCAAGGCTCTGCAAGACGCCCCTGCAGAGGAACAGGGTTGGGAAGCCTCCCTTTGCCACCCCCCAGCAGGTCTGGCCTCCTCAGCCTGCTCACCTGCAGTGAGCCTGTGGCCAGCTCTCGCTGGGCGCTCATGTTCAGCAGCAGATCCAGGGCTGTCTGCGTGGCCAGCTCTGCTGATCCAGCCACATCTGGGGGGGTGGATGGGGACAGTCAGGTAGGTGCTCGCCCACCTCCTCCCCATTCCAACCCCTTCCTGGGAACTCACTGACCTTGTTCATAGATGATGGTGGCCCCTTCCAGGGAACTCTGTGAGAGGACAGGGGGTTCTGCTCCTGTGACGGCACTCACCGGTGGGCTGGCCTCCGGCTCAGCTGGTGCCTGCACCTGGCTGTGCTGCTGCTTCAGCTCCTCGATCTGCTGCAGGGTGAAGAAGGGGCGGCGGCGGCAGGGCGGCTCCTCGGGGTGCCGCTGTGCCCACTCCTCGAAGGAGTCTGCGTGGCGGCACTGCACGTGCAGGCGCAGGTTCTTCTTGTGCTTGGTGGTGAAGTGACAGAACTCGCAAGCAAACGGCTTTCCTCCTGCAGGGCCCGGGAGGGGGAGTCAGGCACAGGGTTCCCAAGGGATGGCAGGGAGAGCAGGCAGGCTCTGACCTTCTCCGGGAGAAGGGGGGGTGCAGGACATTAGGCTCCTCTCACCTGTGTGCTTGACTGCCACGTGTGAGACCAGGAAGTCCTCCCGGAAGGTGGAATACTTGCAGATGCTGCACTTGTAGGGCTTGTCATTCATGTGTGACAGCTGGTGGTTCAGAAGGACCTTCTTGTCCTCGCAGACGTAGTCACAGAACTCACACTTGAACCTGCCAGGATGAAGCTGCCTGTCACAGGGGCTGAGGGGGAGTGGGACACGGGCTCTGCCAGGGCACGCCATGGGCTGTGCCCGGGCTCCCACCTGCGGTTGGCGATGGCCTGGATGTGTGTCAGCAGGTGCATCTTGAAGGTGTAGCGCTTCTTAAAGGACTTCCCACACTGTGGTGGAACAAAACAGAGCAGTGTTCACCTCCTGCCCAGCCCCACCCGCTGCCAGCCCCTCCCCAGGCTGTGTCTCCCTCACCTTGTCACACATGTGAGGCTTCTCTGTGCTGTGTGTCTTCATGTGCTGCGTAAGCCTCTTCTGCATGGGGTAGACACGGTTGCAGACGGGGCACGGGAAGGAGTTCAGCTTTGGTGGCTGGATGGAGAGCATGAAGATGAGCTCATCTGGACAGGCTCACCAGTTTCCTTACCCTTTCCCCCACTGCAGGACCTGGGCTTCCTCAAGAGATCCAGAAACAATGCCCTCAACAAGGCACTGAGAATCTGTGGAAGACCCAGATGTGCCTCTTCCCATATAACAGTGCTGAGAAACAAGCCAACAGAGTACTCAAACTCACCGGATCAGCTCTCTTCTTCCTAAAAAAAGAAAGAAGAAAAGCCCCGTGTGTGAGCCACACCCCAAGTCTGAGCCGCCTTGTATCCAGACACCAAAACTCTCCTATTTGGAAAGGGCCAGAGGTCAGGGGAAGGGGCAGCCACGGCTGCCCTCTCAGGGTAGGAGGAACAGTGTCAGTGCCATTCAGTCCCCAGGACTGTGCTTCCCTCACCTGTCCCGGCTGTGCACCGTGGAGTGGCGGATGACATCCTTCTTGTACACGCTGGTGTAATTGCACTCCTCACACTTGTAGGGCTTGCTGCCCACGTGGTTGAACATGTGCTCCTGTGAGAAGCAGAACAGGGCCGTGAGACCTGGGGCTGCCAGGCACCCTCGTGGATTCAGAGCAGGGCAGACAGAGCTCACCTTGAGGGAGGACCAGCGCCGGGAGCGGTAGCTGCACTGCAGACACTTGAAGAGCTGCGGGTCGTTGGCCTCGTGCGAGTTGACGTGGAAGCGCAGATCGTCGTGTGTGAGGAACCGCGAGCCGCAGATCCAGCACAGGTACGGCCGCATCAGGGGCTTGGGGGACTTGTAGTAGTACCTGCAGAAACAGGAGCGGGACTCAGAGCTGTGGTGGCCAATGGGCTGGACCAGCCCTGGGCAGAGGCCAGAGGGCCCAGCACACCCCCCTCACCTGCGCCCCATGTACTTGCGGTATTTCTTGCCCAGGAAGCGGCGGGAGGGCCGCCCGCGCCGCCGAGGGACGGCGTCTGCCTCCTCAGCACCCGCGTTGGAGGAAGGGTCCTTGTTCTCGGAGTCTGACTGGCTGATGCTTGGCTCTGCCAGGCTCTCACCGGTCCCGTTCTCCAGGCCAGAGGAACTGGCTGCCTCCGAGTTCTGCAGCTCATGGCTCGGTGTGCCTTGGGACGTCACCAGGGGCTCCACCTCCCCTCCTGCTCCACAGAGCACAGCACGGCTCCGTCACACCCCTGCTGTTGGCTCCGGGAGCTTGTGCACCCCTCTCTGCTCCAGCACTGCTGTTGCCTCCCTCCTCTCTCACCTTCTGGCACATCCTGAGGCATGTTCTCCAGGCGAGGGAGCTTGCGGGGTCTCCCTGGGCGTCGGCGCGGCCTCTCCTCGCTGGACGTGGGGACAGTGCGGCCATACTTGGGCTGTCGCCCCCGTGGCTCATCCTCAGCTGGGTTGTAGTCACTGTCCTCTGCAGGCAAGTGCCCCAAAATGTCAGACCGAGAAGAGACTAAGCTACTTAAGATGTGGGGAGAGCAAGTCCTACCTTCAGGGTCATCAATAGCACCAGCATCCATGATATCATCATCTTCTTCTTCTGGGGCCTCCTCCTCCTCCGTCTTTGGAGCAGCTCCCCCTTTTCGTGGTCGCCCTTTTTTCAAAGCCAGAGCTGAACCCACTGTCACAGAGAACAGGGAGAAAGCTCTTTTACCAGACTGTGTGCCAGGACAGACCCTTATGCTCCAACTCCTCCCTTGTTTCTTCCCCAGAGAGCAGAGCCCGCCTGCAGCGAGGTAAATTTCCCTCAGCCTTTGGCACTCACCTGGCTGGAAGTGACGTTCTTTCATGTGGTTAATCAGTGTTTTCTTGGAGACACTCTTGTACTGACACATCTTGCACTTGAACTGCTGCACCACCACCACCTCCATCATCTCCTCCAGGGTCTCCATGTCTGGCTGGTCCAGCTCCTCCCCACCATCCGTCTCTTGAGCCTGCTCTGGCTTTATGGACAGCTCCACCACTTTCAACTGTTTGGATGGGCCTGAAGGGCCAGGCTGCTCAAGGCACGTGGAGGTAGGTCCATCAGCAACAGCTTCTATCACCAAACTATTGGCCAGAGCAGATGTGGCCACCTGGGACACCATGGGAGCACCTGAAACACCAAAAACCCGCTCAGCCCAGGGGCAGACCTTCACTTGCATCCAGGGCTGCACCCGCACTGGGGGCACAGGGCTGAACACGAGCTCAGGGATGGCTCCTGACAGGACTGTGGAACAGGTGCCGTGGCGGATCCAGCTGGGATGCCCCCTCCAGGCCCCACTCCAGTGGCACAGGCTCACGGACAGACCCACCCACACGGACAGCCCAGGTTGCTCCCTCACCATCATCAGGGCCTTGCAGAATGAGGTACTGGGTGGTCTCTGCCCCTCCATCCTCCGCACTGGTCACGGCGATGCAGCCTGGCAGGGAGAGCAGAGAGCTGACTGCCAGACCCCAGGGCCACTGGGGCTCACTGGGGCTCTCCCAGCTCAGATACAAGCAGGAAGGTGTGAGAAGGGTCTGAATGGAGCCTGTCTGGGCTGAAGGAGCAGCTGTCCAGCAGCATGAGCTCCTTGTCAAACTCTCCAGCTACCACTTCTACTGCAGAGAAAACCCTGCTGACCTCTTAAGACTCGATCTTAAGATGTTTTTGCAACCCTAATGATTCCATGTCCATATTTCCCCCCACCTCCCGAGTTCTGGCACAGCAGCAGCTCCCTCCCAGCCCCCCAGGGTTATCTCCAGGTGGGAGCACACACTCACTCTGGATGATGTCCGGCCCGATCGTGGACTCAATGATTTTGTCAATGGCAGAGCCCAGGTCCGAGGAAGTGGATGCAGTGGAGTCTGACACGACTGTGGCTCCATCAGTGACCACACTGGAGTGGACCAGGACTTGTGGGGACTCTGACACCATGATGGACTGGCTCACAGTGGAGACACTGGAGACCAAGGTGGATTGGGCGATGGAGGATGAGTCTGGCAGGTAAACCCGGGGAACGACATCTGTGCTGGAGCTACTCTCCGAGACCTCTTCCTGGTAGAAGAAAAATAGTCCAGCTCAGCTCAGCTGAGACACCTTTGCCAGACCAAGCCCCTGGGGCAGCCAACATATGCAAATGACCCGATGTATCACTGCAGAACTGCCAGGAAAGGCACCAGAGCAAATCCTTTGGTACCGACAAGGACCTGAACTTCCAAGGCTGTCCTTGCTACCAAGAGAGTCCTGCTGCTCAGACTGGCAAGTACACACGGGATCAGAGGTGTAACAGAGCCTGCCGAGGCCGCAGAGCTCAGTCTGCCAGAAACGCCCAGAGAAACCCCCAGGAACCAGAACCACGGCCGCCCCCCCGGCTCCTACCAAGGAGACGCCGCTGCTGTCAGAGCTCTGCCCCACGCCGGAGTCATCGGCGCGGGAGAGGGACCCGGGCCTCGCGGCGGCGTCGGTGCTGTCCGCCGACACGGCGTCCGAACTCCCGACGCCCAGCCCGCTCTCAGTGGGCTCCTCCTGCGCCTCCTGCGGGGCCGCGTCGCTGCTGCTCTCCACCGCATTCTCCTCCATGCCCACCCTGCCGGGGCCCGCTACGCTCGACCTGCGGGGGGACCGCCGCTGTCAGGGTCGCCGCCGCCGCCCGCTCCCCGCCGGCTCCAGCCCCTGCGGGGTTCCCGGATGGGCGGGCGCGGGGCCCCGGAGAGGCCGCGGGCCCATCCCGGGGGGTCCCGGCGCCGCCCGGTGCCCCGGTCCCGTCATGCCCCGCGGCCCCGCCGGGCCCTCGGCCGCCAT